ATGCATGTGTCCACATCATTGTCAATAAGCAGGACACTTCTTCTTCAGATAGTTGTCAAATCGCAGAAAAGGAATGTTCAGTAGGAGCCCAAGCTCTTTAGCATCAAACTCTATATCAAATGCTCCTACAAAATTTTTTACTACCTTGCCATCAAACTGGAAGTTTGAATAAAACTCGACCACAACAAGCATGTGGGAAAGGGCTTAACAAACGTATGTATCCATCCCTACGGGTCAAGTTTTTCAACCAACTGGGCCATGCTCTTTTCATTAGTATTTGAAAGTATCTTCCCATTCAACTCTTTTCTATTTTTGAACTCAGTCAACCTGTCAACCACAACAGACTCAACCCTCTTCTTCTTCCCTTTGCTGGTCTTCTAAGATGTGGCAATTGCTTTGGTGGGTTTAACAATAGTCTTTTTCACTAGTGGTTTCTTGGCCTGCAGTTAAAGACCAGGTTCATCCTCTTCATCCAACTCAACTACAGATTCAACAGCAGGAATTTACTTTCTTATTTTCTTGAAACTCCTAGACTCCTTGATCATTTGTTCATCAATAACTTTTCTTTTGTTCCTGGTGAGAGAAGTCATAACATGAGGAGTCACTTCTTTTTTTGCCTGGGGAATTGGTCTTGTAGATTTGATAGAGGCCTTCATGCCATTTTTTCCTACCTCGGATAAGGGCAAATCGTCCTCATAACTATCAACCTCCTCATCTCCAACAAAAGGAGTTAACGAAGGCCTAGGTTCATTAGACCTTTCCTCTTCACGAACTTCTTTAAATGGGCCATGATTATATTCTCAATAGCCATGAAGCCTTCAGATTCCTCACTGGCATTCTCCTCTTCACTTTCAGATTCAGTACCCTCACTTTTACTTTCTTTTTTATCTTCATCACCCTCACTCTTAAAGTCACATTCTCCTTCACTTTATTTTTCTTCTTCGGTAAAGTCTCCCACTTGCTCACCTAGTTGTTCTTCTATCTCACTCTCTCTTTTTCCTCACCCGATCTCCCATATTCTCGCTCTTCTTCTCATAAGTACTAATAGCCCAGTACCCTAACCCACTAGCCAATCCGCTAGGTTAATCGGATGGACTGGTTTTTCCCACCACCAGCGCCGTCCAGCATGTCTGGTAGCCACCTATAATTTATATATTAACTACTACTAGCATCTTCTGTATTGTGTTGTGTGATAGTGTTGTTTACACAAAATTTAATATATTAAACATGTATGTATATTATAATCTTAGTAGTAGAATACTAAAATAATGGTTAAATAGCTAGTTTCGTAAGGAATATATCACATCATTGTTTAACATATGATAGTTAAATTAATCTGAATACATGCTTAGAATTATGAACCTAGAAGATGAGAATATATACATCATACATTGAGTTGAAAGACACATCATTAATGGGTGAGCACGCATAATTTTATGCAAAACAAACCCACTACAAGTCTATAACTTATTATAAATTGACACATTTCATTTTTAAAAATCGTTTAACATAAGTCAAAGCAAAATTAACAAAATTAATGTGTGACAGAGGAAGAAAAAGTAAATTTCGTGACATGTCGATATAGGGAAAATTGACACCGCGTAACATGTAAGAGGAATTAGCAAATTATTAGCCTTAAAATATGCTGGCAAAGGCAACCCCAAAGAAATTGACATTGTATAGTTAAATCTATATATATATAACTCCCTCCCTACGTATCTTTTTCATCTCCCTCTATATTTTTCTCCTTATATTTCTTCTTCTATCTCTCATGTTTCTCTATCATGGTTTAGCATAAATTATTGCAAAGTATGCATAAAAATCAGTGGGATAAAAAAGCAACTTTGATCTCACATCATAGAAATTTTGAAGCAAAAACTAAGAGAGAAAATAGAAAAAAATAGAGTTTAACTTTGTTTCTCTTCTCTCTCTTTTTGTTGTTGGATTGAATGAGTGAGTGTAATTGAAATTGATTAAAAATACCTAAACGGGGCTATATATAAAATTTGAGCAAGAGTAGAAGTGATTTAGACTTATTTCAGGTAAAAAAATCATACATAGAAATTCAATTGCGATATGTGTATATCACATTGTATATCGTGTACATTAGTGTATATCACACACAGAATTTATGGACGTCTGTGTATATCACATTGTATATCGTGTATATAATACAGATTTTCATGGATATACAAAGATACACATGATATTCATGAGATACCATTGATGTACATGGTTATATACACAGAATACAACGGAGATACACAGGTGGAGTCGTCTTGAGGCTTGAATTTTCAATCTAAAATGTGTTATACAAAGAAGAAAAATAAAATTTTGATATACTTTTTTATATATACATTATTATTATGTAATACAATGTGATATACAAATAATATAATTGTTACTGTGTTGTATATATTTGGATATATAGATAAAAACTAAAAAATAATTTAGAAAAATTTGAGAGATTATAACTACTATTGAAGAAAATGGAACTTAATTTCTAGGATGATGGTTGCTATTAGAGAAGAGAGAGAGTTTTAAATATTTTTTATTATTTTTAAGGAAAATAATTTTGATGGAGCTTATGTTTAGGATGATGGTTGTACTCATAGAAGAGAGAGAATAACTTTATGCTACCATATGTCAAATGCTAAAACGTAGGTTTTTTTATGCCAATGTTGGACCTAGTTGTGCAAATTCCCTGTCAAAAAGTAAAAAATAAAAACAAAAAGAAACTAAAGAAAAAGCCCAAAATTCCGAGGAACTGAGTTGGGCTCCACGCACACATTGTATTCAGCCAAGACAAACAAAGCCGGAGTAATAACTAATAAGTCTGCTGGTCTTGGTTAAATGACACAAATAACCTTGAAAGAAGCTGGTCCTAAACTTCTTAACTTTTGGGCAAGTTATCTGATCAATGGGCAAAAACGTAAGTTTAACAAGTTTTGTCACATAGGTAAATTTTGGCTTTTGATTTTGAAGGTTTACGGTCAAGTGACTTTTGCCTTAAAGGTCAAAAGTTAAATGACAATCCCTTATGGTGTCCTATTCCTGTCATTTTCTTATTAACCTTGTAATTGTATAGTATCCAATTGGAATTTCAGGTTTTCTGTAAATTTCTCCAGTTGCAAAATTCAACTGAATATGTGTCTTTTTACATGCACCTTTTCAATTATTATATATAATCACGTTAATCCATACGTTATTATATTAATTAGTAAAATTTAGCATAGATTAAATTTTTGCATATATACTCTCATATAACATAGACTATAGAGTCTTCCCTTCTAATAAGGTGTCATTGATTATTTAAAAATTGATTAAATAATTGGATCGTTTATTTGATTTTTTCAACAAAATCATAGAATTTAATATAAATCTATAATTATCCTGAATAATTAGGTAAATTTTTTATTTTATAAAAAAATTCAAATCGAATCGAATAAATTTATATATATAAAAACATGGTGAAGCATTAAATTTTTCTTTACGTTGGGCCTTGAGTGGATTCAGATGGAAATGACAACAAGCAATAAATTTTGATTGTTAATTTCAAAAAGCTTAGTTTTGATTATTCACAATAAAGTAACTAAAATTAATACTACTTTGATAGTATAAATTTATGACGGAATCAAACATCCTTATCTTTTGATAGTCGTACACATTGTAATCGGAAAAGGGCTAAAACTGCCCCTAACTTATTCGCTTGAGTTTAAAAATATCATCCGTCCACCTATTTTGTAAAAACTGCCCTCACTCTTAAAAATCCGGCTCATTCATGCCCTTATTTCTGACGGACCTTTGCTGATATTTTATTATATATGACGTGGAAATTGTTTATTGGTCAAAATTAAAAATCCCACTCTAACCTAGATATGATCCGTAAATAAACCACCGACAATCCATCTTAGTCGTTCCAACCCGTTAAACCCTTTTTAGCCCCTCAAACACCGAATTCATACCCGACTCATGATCCAATCATTATTTTGGTTTTATTTGTCAAAAATTCATATTTTTCTTTTTATTAATTTATTATTTAGTACCCTATCCGTTTCCATGTTCATATTTTCCAACTTAATCAGCCAACAGTTTTCCAACCAAATCACCGTCGTCGAACTGTGAAGCTAATTTGCTCACACGATTTCAATTAACTCTAAAAAGCTACACGGTGGCACAACAAATATAACTTTGGCAAAAACATTAAATCATAAAATCTTAAAATGAACTATTAATTTAATTCCAAAGAATACCAGATTTTACTCAAAAATTGATTTAACAGAAAAATATTAATTTAAAAAATTAAATTAAGGCCAAAAAATCTGAGTGGGAGAGAAAGATCCGTGGATGTTGAAGGGTGAAGATCATAAAGTTGAAGCCGACTGTGGTCCTCAGTCGGCAATGGTGAGTTATTGTACTTTGGCCATGGAGGAGGATGATTAGAGAAAATGTAGAGTGGGAGGATAGGGATGGAAGAAGAGAAGTTGAGAGGCGAAGTTAGGGCATTTTAAAAAGGGGTCATGAGTCGGGTATGGATATTTTGGGTCATGGAGTCGGTTAATAGGGTGTGGTGAGGTTTTAATTTAAGCCAATAGGAAATTGACACATAATAAGTAATAATTTTTTTTAATCTTAATCAAAATAGGGCCGTTAGTTTCCACGGTATGAGTGGGCCGGAAAGTTGACGTTAGGAGTAATTTTTACAAAATAGGTGGACGAAGGGTATTTTTAACCTAAGCGAATAAGTTAGGTACAATTTTAGCCTTTTTTCGCATTGTAAATCCATATTAATTAGGCTAGTTTTTTTTTCCGGTAATTAATTAGGCTAGTTTAGTTTTCTATAATGATAAGGTGGGTTGCTCTGATGGTAAGCATTCTCCACTTGTAAGTTCAAGTCACCCAAGAGCAAGGTGAGTAATTTTTGAACGGAATGATGCAAGTTTATTGGAAACAACCTATCTTGCCGGGGTGTTGTTGTTGCAGTTTAGTTTCCCATACACTGAAAACAAACATACAAAAAACTCGTCATTACCCATCGCACCCACAATACTCCACTTTTCGCTCATTTGTTTAGTGTGTCAAATGGAGAAACTGAGGAAAATGGTGAACCACATAGCCTATACACCACCCCAAGACAGGTTCCATACACTCTCCACACTCCAACTCTCTCTAATCCCTCTTCTCTCATTAGCTTCCACTCTCTACGGCGTCGCACTTCCCCTCCGTCATCGCCTTTACCAACTTGGTCTGCTTCACAAAGACAGGTAAATAGATCTCCCCTTATTATGGTTTTGCTTTATATGGGACTTTGTTTCCTCAACATGTAGTGCTTTTTAACTGTAAGGTTGCCGGTGCCAGTGATTAGCGTTGGGAATTTAACTTGGGGAGGTAATGGGAAGACTCCAATGGTTGAATTTCTTGCACTTTGGTTGGCTGCTGCTGGAATTTCACCTCTTATTCTCACAAGGGTACTCGCTTTTTTTCCCCCCCTCTCTCTCACTTTTTTTAGTAGCTACTTTATTTCATTATGTATGATGGGGTTTGATTGAACATGAAGTTTGAGATGTTAAATTGACTTGTACATTATATTAGTGTTAGTAGAAGAAAATATCAAATTAATTCTGTAATAGCTAAGAAGTTATAGGCCTCCGTGTCTTTGGTCCAGTGGTAAGAGCGAAGCTCGTGATGTATGGGTTAAGCTCACGTCTCGTCTTCGAACTGTGCTGCGGACAACTTTCGAACCATGCGCCACTGGCCCTCGGAGATTTCTCAGTTATCAAATTTTGAAAAGAGAAAAAAAAAAAAAAAAAAAAAAAAAAAAAA